ATAGTTTTAAGCAAGAATGCAAAGCAACAACTACATTTCATGCAGTTAGGAATGCAGAGAATTATTCAATTCTCGTCGCGTCTCACACGGAGAAGATACGATACCTGCGCGATTCGTCTGGTCGCACCAGCTTCAAATGAACCGTACATACAATATCGTGCCTACAAAAGAAAGAAACTCAACAAGCACAACATATCTAACAACATACGTTCAATGTGATATCGAATGCAGACAATCGCGGTGTTGATGGAAAAGTGCATCGCAATGCGGGAAGAAACGCGCGTGACAACGCGAGTTTAAGCACGGAGGCTCGGTGATATCAAAGAGACGTGCATAACAATGCAAGTATGTGCATGAGAATGCAAGCTATGTGCATGATAATGCAGAACAAGCGTATACCAGGATGTATGTTTGTCACAAAACAACGAGCAAGGAAATGCGCGTTTCGGTGAGGGCGACTCGATCGCGGCCTCCGGTTCACCTCCCAGAGAGGTTGCAACATGTTCAAAAGGATATATCTCACTTTCGATGAGTAATGATGAGACATGCATCGGAAGTTGAAGTTGAGGTTCCGGCGGAGCGATTTCGCGACAGAAAGTGCACTTCTCTTGTACTTTTTCAGGTCCCGGGGACTCGAATCCTCCCCAAAATTTGCAGGGACCTTGGGGGGCATGTGAGGAACACCACCGGCCAGTTTTATTGGGAGAGGGAGGCCACCGGCCAGTTTTTGAAAAGGGAATGGCCGGCCTGCCAGAAAAAATGGCCGACCGGCCACTTAGTCCAGATTCGGGGCAGTTTTGTCTTTTCAGCCTCTTTTCTTTAAATACACTCATCCAAACACTTCGTGCTCACAAGTGCAGCTCTGAAAACATCTCTTTTTCCTTCCCAAACCATTTTCTCTCTCAGATCAAGGCTCTATACGCGTTTTCCAACGTCCTACGTAAGTTGTTTTCGCGAAATCTTTCAGTTTTAAGCACTTTAAACCGATTAAATTTTGATTTCGGGGCTTCTTTTCTCATTTTCGCCACTTGAGGTGAGTTTGTCTCAATATTTGGAAGATTTTCTCAGGAGTTGACTTTTGTTGACTTTTTCATTTCCCGAGAGTTGACTTTTGTTTACTTTTTCCAATTTTGGCTCATTTTGGCTCGTTTTTGCCCTTTTTGCAGATTTCTTGAAATGGCGGGTCAATTTTCCCACGGCAGAGGTTCTCCAGGAGCCGGAGGCGACCCTGACATCATGTCTTTGCATCCGAGGGTTCGCCCCTTTATCCCCGAGAGGTACGCCCCTCAAGCTCATATCCTCCCACGGGCTGTTTTCTATCACTTCACCGATTTTGACGAGCGAGCACCCGGGGATCACCTTCTGCGGGAGCCAGAGTATCACCTCTCCTATGAGGCACGAGAGGTATTTACTTCGTTTTTACCTTTTCTGTAACATATTATGAATTTACCTTTCTCTTTGTTTCTGCTTCTGGGGCTTGCAATTTTGCAAGTGAAGTCTACAAAAATGGCAGGTCCATCCAAACCCACCAACCAATCAAACCTCTTTCTAACATTAAATTACCTTTTCGTCATCAGATGTTCCTTTTGTCTGGGTAATCCGAAACCTATGTTACATGGACTCTTCAAATTAAATCAAATACCCGTGTCGGACACCCGACACTCGGACAAGGGTATGGGATATGTGTCGGATACTTTTCAACGGATACTTCTTATATAATTGTATATAACACTATTATTATATGTATATATTGTTATATAATTGCTATAAATGTCATTTTGACACTATAAGTTACATATAATACCATTTTATCTCACATATTAGATTAAAAATATAAAAATATGACATTTTTTTGCCGAGTCCGCGTATCCTTAAATTTATGATTTGATGAGTCCGACCTCTAGATACATACCCGCACCCGACACCCGTACCCGAGTCCATGTAACATAGTCCGAAACCCAAATTAAGATAATCTAAGAAATTGGAGTCTAAGGTTGTCTCTATTCTTGCCTTTTCTTTAATTTTTAGTTTTGATGATTGGATTTCAGACTGGGAAGCTCTATTTCTAGCTCTAGCCCCCTTCAATGCTTGAATTTGAACGAAAGGCTTATAGGGTTTAGTATATGCTGCCATTTACCTTTTTCATTAATCTATTTTTTTGTAGATTAGATACCTTGCTTTCTTTTAATGCTTTAGTTACAAGGAAGGTTCATTAATAGGGTTGCAAGTAACAAGAGTTGAAAATGATTGAAGAGGCTGAGATTTTGATACATTTCTGTAAGAGACATTGCTAGAATTGGGAATCTTTTGTGAAGCTTGAACAACTGTGAATCTCACACCCTACGTTTGTAGTTATCTAGTTCCTCGATAGAATTCACTTTAATACAAATGATTTGGAAAGGTTGATGTGGATCAAACTTTGACAACAACACTTTTTAGTCTTCTGTTTGAAGTTCTGAACAATTGATTTTGTTTATTTAGGCCTTGCTGTCTTTCCTTGAGATGTTAAGATGCCAAAAACATCTTTTGAGGTTCTAGATTATTTGTTTGAGAATGAAAAATTACTTTTCAACATTATATCGGACTAGGATTTCTTAAATTGAGTTGCTGGACACGTGCCAAAGGTTCAATCAATTTATGGCTCCTCTTTTCTTTTCTTTTTTTTTTCCTCTTCAGCTCATTGAATGCTGAAGATTATATTTATTTGGTGTTACCTGCAGCTGATGTAAATACTTGTATAATTTTTTAGTGATTTTTGCAGGGGGATGAATCACTTGCCTGAGAATAGACCTGGAGCAATAATTCACCGTGATCTTGAACCTTTGTGATTAATCTGGATAAGATAACAGAAAGATACTTGTATAATTTTTTATGTTGTTTATGAGTAAGATAACAGAAATATATTGCGGGATGATTCAGGGCATCTGAAAGTTGTGGACTTTGGAGTTAGCAAGCTGTTAAAAGTAACCAGCAGAGTCAAAGAAGATAGGCCTTTAACCTGTCATGACACTTCTTGTGAGTGTGCTGATCTTCTGCATAGCTTTCGTATTACTCACGGCTCAAATTGTACTCTAGTTTTTTCAATTGCAATTAATTAAGGATCATATCATGGTTTCTGATAAATTGTGTGGATATTATTGTTGATATGGTGACATCTACATATATCTGGTGCATAAATGTAGATTGCTTTTTGTACACAAGAGGCAGTGAAGTTTTTGTTCCTGGTTCCTCTTCGTTGTATTTCTTCTATGCATTCATTTTTTTGGGGTCAAATTCATTTGATTTTTTATTGCTCTCACACACTAGTTATCGTTACCTCTTGAATTTTTATGAGATTGCCAAGGGGCTGCATATTAGAAACTGGCATTCCATGAAAAACAAATTGAGAGGAAGGCATCTTTGCAGAAATGTAACGAGTGTAGATTGTTGTTTATTAATGGAAGAAAAACTAGAAGTAATTGAACCATGGTTTTCCTTATTCTAGTATTCTACCATATGAAGTAACCCTCATTTTCTGTAAATTGACTTGGCTATTTATGGAATTATACCTGTTTAGCTGAGATGAATAATACTTTATGAACAGGCCGATATGTGGCTCTAGAGGTTTTCATAAATGAAGAGTATGACACCAAAGTGGATGTATTTTCGTTTGCTCTGATTTTACCGGAGGTAAAGGTTTTTCATCCTTTACTTCTGCACTAAATACATCTAAAGAGATCTTGTTTCACACACTATTCGTATTTCTGCCTATTGTTCACATTTTTTTTTGGGTTCAGTATATACTGATCATGGAAGAGTAATATTTAGATATGTAATTATATGTTGTACTTTCTACTAATTACCAGAAACATTGACCTTCACAAGCCTCAAATGTCAACTTGTTAGCCATTGCGTTCTAGATGTGATGAGATATTAGTTGCATACAATTGAAGTTCTTAACTCACAAGATTAATGGGCACCAGGTGTCTGTTGATTACGACGCTGATTACAACTTACAAGTGCAAAAATAATTCAAATATATATGCAGAACTAGAAAAAATATATTTATGTTCAGGTTGGTATTATGTTAGCAAAAATTCCTCTGGGGAACAGAAGTTAAAATTACTGATTATTGGCACATGATGCTGTTGTTTAATGTAACAAAAAAAACTGACGCCTGTTTTGCTGCTCATTAAATGAGTTTAACATGACCAACTTATTTAGAAAAGGTTCTCAGGAAAAAGAAAGTACCTTAACCTGTAGCAAAAAGAGTTAGAATTCTGGTTTTAGGGAAATCGGTAATTATCCCTGGTTCTCTGTTATTTACCAGTTTGTTGTTTGGATTTTGCAATGAAGCATGGCTTGCCATTGTATCTCAAAAACTATCTGAGTTTGGTTATATGCATGGAGCATTACCTACATCTGCTTAATCATTTTTGTCCATGATTTTAGGAATAGGTAGGCATGTAAGAAAGTGGAGTTTTTGTATTTGAACTTGTGTAGAAAAATTGTATTAATAGGTAGAAAGTTAGAATTGTTAATTTTATAATTGTTATAATTTGCAGAGTATAATATATCAGAATTATTAATTTTATAATTGTTATAATTTGAAATGTCAATTTTATTGAATAAGTGCTAATGGTTATTTTTTATCTTTACAGATTGCTTTTGCGTGGGCTATTGTAGATGTTTATTTTTGTGTACAAAGAGCATCTGTTTTGTATATGGAAGACATTTATTTTTGTATAATCCTCCGCTTTGGAAATCTTGTGTTTTTGTGTGCAATATTTAATTTAGATAGATTATACTTGGTTAGTATGGATTTATATGATATTTGGAATGAGGTGTTATAAGTTAAAATTTTTGGATAGTTGATAATGAAATGGGTATTTTTGATAATGGATTTAGATTATAATTGATAGATGTATTATTCTGTATATGAACAGGTTACAGGTTGTATTGATAATGGAATGTATATAATTTAAAAATTAATGAAAAATATTCAATTTGTGCATTTTTAAAAAATTAATAAATAGAGCTTTTGGCGACTAAACATTTAGCAGCCAAAAAAAAAAAAAGAAAAAAAGGGAACTTATTGGTGACTAATAGTTACTAGCAAAAAAAAAAAAAAAAAATGAAAGTTTTTAGCAACTAAAAAATTAGTAGCTAAAAAGGAGCACTATGATTTTAGCGACTAAAAAATTGGTATCCAAACAAGAGTGGCACGTTTTTAACACAAAAAAATTAGTAGCCAAAAAGAAGTGTCATGTTTTTAGCGACTAAAAAATTGGTAACTAAAAATCTAAAGATGAATTTTTTTTGTTTTGTTTTGGTGACAAATATTTTCTTTTGGACGACTAAATTTTTAGTCTCCAATTGGCGACTGAAAAAATTAGTCGCCAATTCTTTTGCCGACAATTAGTCAACGACCAAACGGGCAGCTAAGAATTTTAGTCAGCAAAAATCTTTACATTGTAATTACTTCAAATTAGCAGATGAGGATGATGACGACACTAGCTCCATAATCCGTTCCAATGTTGGACCTCGAAAAACTATAGGAACAGAAAAATTAAATGATCTACAAAGAAGACTTTGTGAGATGGACAATGAAATTCATGAGCATGGTAGAAGGCTGCAAAGGATATAGTAGAACTTGAAGGCAATGATTTATGTCATTGTTTTTTTGTCTTTTTGTACTTTATCATGTAAATGACTGACTTTCGAATGTTTTGGCGAATGAAATTAATGAAATTAAAAACTTGTTTTCTATCTTGTATCTTTTTGTACTTAATGATGTAAATGAGTGAGTTTTTAGGTTAGTAAGAATGTGGATTGGGAATTGATTGAATGTTATCAATAACTTTTGATGGCTTATTTAATAATTTGGGGATTGTACATTACTATACCAGCAAGCACATGAAAAAGGCAAAAGATATTTGGAATCACTCCCATATTGAAATATGTTAGATTTTTCAATCCAAGAACATCAACAGGAGCCAACCCAGTGAACAAATTGGTGCTAATTTTTTTTTAATCCCAGGCATGATGAGACCTGTTCTTGAACACTCATTGATAGCACGTTGTTCCTCACACAATTACAGTAGGCCTTGTGAAGGAATTAGACCTCAAAGATTATTGAAACACAAATCCATTCGAAGCAGATTCAAATAATTGGAAATTGACACAAAATAGTTGTGAGGAAGTGAAACAAAGCTGATGGAATTTGTCCAAAATACCCATTTCTTCAAAAATAAAGAAACTGAATATTCAACAAAGAAGCCAACAATTACTATAACAACTCCTCAAACCAACGTTGACACAGTAGGCCAACAGATACCCGTACAAAATGTATCTAAACGAAATAAAACCAAACTATCCGAAATTTGCATACGAATGTCATACAATTACTACTGCAACACTTAAAAAAAAAATGGGGCATTTGGATAGGCATTTATATTAAACTCAACAAATTTTGATGTTACCGTAGAACTTTGACTACTTATATTGTTAACTATTCCTGGTTGAGTATGAGATGTGCTTCCAATATTGTTCACCATTTGCATTGTGCTAACCCGTGCCTATAAAAATAAAGACCATATTACAAATATTGTCTACAAACATACTTACCAATCTAAAATTTAATTCATCATTAAAATACGTGTAGTCATATAATCAACACGCACCAATACATACATATTGTCTTCTGTGCCATCCATACAAGGAAAATGGTAACGTTGATCTTGTGGTACCTTATCATCAATTAGTAACAAAATTTCATTAGTAATTTCAAACATTAAAATAAAAACCCACAACAAACAAAGTACAATATATTAAGTCCTTTTAACACATACCGGTACATACATGCGGTCATCTGTGCCATCCATAGAAGGAAAATAATAAGGTTGGCTTTGCGGCACCTTATGATGAAATAGTAACACAATTTCATTAGTACTTTGAAGCATTAGTACTTTGCGGTGAAGTATGGGAAGGTATACTACTAGTAGCAGGTGGCACAGTACTAGTACATGGCACATTACTCGCACTACCCGATTCAACTGTTCTCACTTGATCCTTGATATCCTTCAACCCAAGTTGAATCACTTTGCGTTTTCCATCATCATTGGTTGCAAGTTCTAGGATCTCATCCAACATCTTGTGATAGTTAGCATGCAACATTGGATTTAGAGCAGCCCCAAAGTTAGTATATGTGGTTGGAATGCATGTGTACCCTATTTCCAAATCTTTTATCTATCTCGAAATAATGTATTTATTTGGCACCTCATATATGGACCTCTCAATGAGCACACTAAGTGAATAGGCACACATAATACCTCTAAACTTAAACAATCGACACATACATTGGAGCTCATATTCAATTGAATTACAATACATAACAAATTCCACTTTATTCATCCCCTCACCCAGAAGAACAGCCTCCGTCACATGATAGGTACAAATTGATCCCTTCTCTTTGATAAGATTTGCACGACAGTACACTAGACGCTTCATTTATGCTTGCACTTCTTTAAATTTTAAATTAGTGTAAGCTGCACGAAATTGCTTCTTGAAACGATACACCGTTAAGCAATCATACAATTTGTTACAAGACTTAAAATCTGCTTTTGTCTCCTTCTTTACTTTTCTTCTCAAGGCATTGTCATACTACTCAACAAATTGCTTTAAGGTTGTCGTGGAGTTCACATATCGATCAAAAAATGTATTCATGCTGTCACTTCGTTGTGTAGTTGACATGCCGGCCCAAAATATATCTTTAACATAGACAGGAATCCACCTATGTCACTCACGGTATAATACCCCCAGCCACTTGTTATCATTCAGATTGAATTTTGCGATCATTGCTTGCCAATATTCCTCAAATTCATCTTTTGTAAATGAATCATAAATTGCATTACTCAAAGCAACATTTATGGATTCATATTGCGAATATCCTCTCAATTTCTCCCGAATTTTTTTCATTATATGCGATAAACTCCAACGATGTCGAGCCTATGGAAAGACAATTTCTATGGCATTTTGCACTGGTCAGTTATTATATCTTTTGGGGGAGCATCTGTCATGCAACTTAACTATTCTTTGAATAGCCAAACAAATGTCTCAGTGTTCTCATTACATAACAACCCATAACCAAACAAAATTGATTGTCCATGGTGATTAACTCCTACAAACGAAGCAAATGACAGATCATATTTGTTTGTCAAATAGGTTGTGTCAAAGGAGACAACATCCCCAAATGCTTTATAATCCGCCCTACTCCTTGCATCCGCCCAAAACAAGTTTCACATGCGACCATCTTCATCAAGGTCAATTGCCGAATAGAAGTTTGAATTTTGTTGTTGCATTTTATGAAAATAAAGTGCAATTGATTCGGTATCTCCTAACCGAAGTTTCAATCTTCTAGCATTTTCAATATGATTTCTTACATCTTGTTCATCAAACGTTAATTCCTCATATTCCCCCGCTTCAACAACTATAGAATGAAAATTCTTATCCACCCCAATCCCTGCTACATCGTTAACTTCTAGTCTCCTTTTCACTGGAGTAAGAATCCTCTTATTCATTGCAAAATGCTGTGAATCACTAGGAATCAAATCATGAGTGTGCTCAAGCACAACTGTGGTTAACTTATATCTTTTATCCTTTTGTAGACTGGCTCTTACCCTTGCTTTACAATCAATTTTTGATGACAAAGATGGTTCCAGGAGATTTACTTCTGATCTTTTTGTTCTGTTCTGCGCTCGAGTACATTCAATTCCAAAGTACTTTAATTCCAAAGTACAAATCCAAGGTGTTTCGCATATTTTGCATAAAATGCGTACACTTATTGCTTCGAGGTAAAATACATCCCCTTCTTCAGTTTTTCAATTTCACCACTCTCATTAACTGAAAGATTGTTATCCTCTTTTTCAACTTCCTCACTTCCATTGAATGAATTATTGTTTGAATCAATATTATTGTAGCTTCAAAATAACAACAATTTAAGTTTCACAATTTTTCTATAATTCTTCTTCCCTTTACAGGTTTATTTTTACACTTATATTTCAAATTGAAAATTATCAATATAGCAACAAAAAATTATCATAGAAGTTCAGCATAATTAGCACTATAGCAATAGGTGACACAGGGAACCGAACCAGTATAGGTGCCGAAAGACAGATGAACAATCAAAATTAGGTCTGATTAACCAAAAATAAATACAAAAAAAAAATAATAATAATAACAAGCAGGTGCATGAAGATAGATGGAAAAGAAGAAAATTTTCTGTTCATTGAAATTCGTTGATCTTGTTTGATTGAAATTTCGAAAATTTCAAACATGAAAATTGAAATTAGTTGATCTTGTTGATTGAAACCAAACATGAAGGCAGTATGAAAATTTTCTGTTCATTGAAATTAGTTGATCCTGTTTGATTGAAATTATGAAAATTTCAAACATGAAGATTGAAATTAGTTGATCTTGTTGATTGAAACCAAACATGAAGACAGTATGAAAATTTTCCGAAACCCTAAATTAAAAACAAAACCAACCAATTTCAATCAACCAATTCGAAACCTTAAATTAAAAACAAAACCAACTAATTTCAGATTATACAGAGCTTGTTAACTAAAAATCACCGGAGTACTTGCAATTACAGCCACCAGCAGCAGTAGCCGCAGCACCTTTGCAGCACATACAGCAGCGGACGCAGCCTGGTCAGCAACACACAGGTCGGCTCCTCTCTCTCTACTCTCTGTTACCTAGTTGATGCTCTTCTCCTCTCACTGTTTAGCTAGGTTATATGATCGCCTCTTTCTCTACTCTCTATTCTTTCCTTTTTCTTTTTAAGGTAAATTACACTAACACCCCCTGAGGTTTATATTTATTACAGTTCCCCCTCACCTTTTGAAAATTACATCTTTCCCCTGATGTTTAAAGTTTCATTACAGATTCTCCACTTCAGCAATTTAATTTTTTTAAATATCAATTTTTCCCTCACTGGGTAAATTACATTGACACCCCTCACATTTTAGAAATTACTGTCCTCTCCTTAAGGTTTAAAGTAGCATTACCAATTACCCCCTCGGTTAGTATTAGTTGGAAAAAAAATTCATTGAAAAAAAAATTAATTGGGAAAAAAATTAATTGAAATTTTTTTTTGTTAGTAAAGTTTTTAAATTTATATTTAAAAACCAATGTAAGCTCATTTTTTGAATTTACATTTTTTTCTCAAATTTATAAACTGAGACAACCATTTATAAACCAAAAAAATTATCAAACAAGTTTTTATGACAGTTTTTAAAATTTTTGTAAAAATAAGTTGAAAACTGAAAACGAAATGGTTACCAAACAGGCTTAATGGTAAAAATGTCGTAAAATTAACAAATAATTAAATAAGTTACCAACGTAAGAAATGACTTATCAAAAGATTCTTAGGCTATGTATGGTTTGATTTTTAGAATTTTTTTTAATTAAAAATTAATTTGGTTAAGAAATAAAAAATAAAAAATAATTATCATTTTTATATAATTTTTATCTTTCGAGTGGTTAGAAATAATTTTTTACAAATTAAATTGAAACAACCATACGTATGTATATAACCTGCCCAAAAGTTAAAATGATAATTATTTTTACCCTTAAATGATAATTATTTTTATTTTTTATTTCTTAACCAAATTAATTTTTAATTTTTAAAAAAAAATTCTAAAAATCAAACCATACATAGCCTAAGAATCTTTTGATAAGCCATTTCTTACGCTGGTAACTTATTTAATTATTTGTTAATTTTACGACATTTTTACCATCAAGCCTATTTGGTAACCATTTCGTTTTCAGTTTTCAATTTATATTTACAAAAATTTTAAAAACTGTCATAAAAACTTATTTGATAATTTTTTTTTGTTTATAAATGGTTGTCTCAGCTTGTAAATTTAAGAAAAAAACATAAATTAAAAAAATGAGCTTACGTTGGTTTTTAAACAGAAATTTAAAAACTTTACTAACAAAATTTTTTTTCAATTAATTTTTTTTCCAATTACTTTTTTTTTCAATGAATTTTTTTTTCCAACTAATACTAACCGAAGGGGCAATTGGTAATGCTACTTTAAACCTTAGGAAGGGGATTGCAATTTCTAAAATGTGAGGGGTGTCAATGTAATTTACCCAATGAGGGCAAAATTGGTATTTAAAAAAATTAAATTGCTGAAGGGGGAATCTGTAATGAAAATTTAAACCTCAGGGAGGGAGATGTAATTTTCAAAAAGTGAGGGGGGGAGCTGTAATAAACATAAACCTCAGGGGGTGTCAATGTAGTTTACCCTTCTTTTTATTTGCAATGAAAGGTGTGGCTGAACAGAGATGGGGGTGTACAAGGAATCTGGGGGTGTACAACGAAATCGGGCCATTTGAGCCTCATCATATTTGAGCTACTAAGCGGGACTGAAAATGATAAGAAAAATGATTGGTGGCCTGAATTTTTGTGGCCCGAATGGCTCAAATGTGTTAAAACAACATTGTTTTACACTCAAAACTCAAAACGACAATTCAGGCACCTAGCATTGTTGAAATGATAATATGCACTCTCATTTTCTCTTTAAGGCCATTATGGAAAATTGTCCTGCTTCAGAAATGATAAAATCATGTTCTATATCTGGACCTGGCTTTGTGAATGTTGTGTTATCAGACAAATGGATAGCAATTCCTTAACTTCTCATCTTAATGGATATGAATGAACTATCTTGGTTACTTGGTGTGGTCATGTTTGGTTACTAAAATTTATTATTGCTATTACTACAGAGCATCCAAAAGATGCTGATAAATGGTATTGAAACATGGGCACCAAAACTTCCAGTCAAAAGGGCAGTGGTTGACTTTTCCTCACCCAACATTGCCAAAGAAATACATGTCGGCCACTTAAGATCTACTATTATTGAGCCTGTATGCTAGAGTATTCAAATGTTGAGGTTCTTCGGAGGAACCATGTTGGTGACTAGGGTACACAGGTCAGTGTGCTTTTTGTTTTGCCCATTTCTTTCCCTTTATCCTGAAAAGTTACAGATATTATTTCATAGATATTTTTATTTACACATAGAGATGTAAACATATATACATAGAGAGCAATAGAATAGCAAATGGGGAGATTTGAACCTAAGATCTCTTTCAACTCTCATACCATGTTTTTTTTTTTGATAAGCTAAGATACTTTATTGATGAAATGAAGCATATAAGTGCTGGGATACATCAATAAAGGGGAAGAGAGAGGATACACCAACAACTGAAGCTAACATAGCTGAACACCAGAGCAACAAAGCAAGAATAGCAAAGAGAACTTAAAAATAGCAAAAAAAAGACCCAAAACTGAAGCTACCCAACCCCCACGGTTGGCAAGAAGCCAACCAAGGCAAAGACCAAAAGCCAAAGAACCTATAACAAAGTTCAGACAGAGTAACCAGAAATCATACAGCAAACCTGATCTGGTGAAGGTTGGAGACAATATCGTGCACTGAATAATCTACTTTCAAGAGCCATTTTGACCACAAAGCTATCTGGACTTTAATCTTCTCACATAAATCCTGAATATCTGGCTGAGCTCCCTTAAACAAACATTCATTCTGAACTTCCATGCAGACCAAAACACAATTGAGGTTATAATCTGCCAGACTTGACCAAGCCAAGCCTTGAGGTTCCCACCATAACACCAATGCAGCAAACCTGCAACAAAACCAGGTATAGCCCATTTCTGACCCTACCAATACACCATACGAGACCAACACTTCCATACTACAGGACAGTGCAGAAGCACATGCTCCATAGACTCCTCCATCATTTGACAGAACACACACAAATTATTAACACTCACACCAAGAACCCCAATCCTTTGGAGAAAGGTTGAGGTTTTGACCCTACCTCGCCAAGCTAACCAACAGAAAAATTGCATTTTTGGAGGAGCTAGGTTGACCCACACCCCTAGTGGAACACCCACACCTTGCCCTGAAGCTAAAGCCCACCACTTCCTTACAGATGAGACTATGAACTACCCAGACCCCTCTGCAGCCCAAGAACAAGAGTCCTCAAACCCAACTCTAAGACTTGGGGATTCCACCAGCAGACCACACAGCCTCTGCAACTCCTCAACTTCCAAAGCAAACAATCACCTTCTAAATTGGAGCTGCCACTCCCCTAGAAGACCTTTCTTGATACTAATTTGGTGGAGAGTTTCCTCATTCTCTGTGGATAGAGTGAATAATCTAGGTAATTCAGATTTCAAGCTCCTAGAACCCAACCAAGTATCATGCCAGAACCTGATTCTCCTTCCATTACCAACAATGATTTTTAATTGGCCTCCAAAGAACTCACCCAGTTGCTGATTACTCTCAGTAATCTGAGTAATGTCCCTCCAAACCATAGAAACCCCTGCTGTTGGATTCACTGAAGGGATCCAAGCCCCACCCATTCTGCCATACTTAGAACACACCACTGATTTCCAAAGGGCCTTATCCTCACTGCTAAACCTCCACCACCACTTTAGTAACAAACAAGCATTAACCACCCCTAAGTTCCTCACTCCCAAACCACCTTGGCTCTTACTTTTTAAGACCTTCTCCTATTTAACTAGATGCACCTTTCTATTAGTTTCATTCCCTCTCCACAAGAAATTGGACTGCAACTTTGATATAATCTTAATAATCCCCTTTGGCATCTTAAAAATAGAAACAAAATAGATTGGAAGATTCGCCAAGGCTGATTTGATTAGAGACAGTCTTCTAGCAAAAGACAATAATTTTCTCTTCCAAGAAGAGAGCTTCTTCTTGACCTTGTCCACAACTGGTAACCAAGTACTCTTCCTTTTGGGATTAGCCCCTAAAGGCAAGCCTAGAAAATTGAAAGGCAACTTCTTTGACAGACAATTCAAAGCCTTAGCCAAGTCCTTGGTTTGATCATCATTATAACCAACCCCACAAACAAAGCTTTTATGGAAGTTGATCTTTAATCCCGACATCACCTCAAAGCACCTTAAAACTCTCTTAATATTCAAAACTTCCTCTTTAGCCCCTTCACAAAAAATTATTGTATCATCTGCGAATTGAAAATGAGAAATACCCAAGTGATCCAAGCCAATAGTGGCACTTTTTATCAGACCCAACTCAATAGCCCTCTTCAATAACAAATTAAGTCCCTCAGCTGCAATGATAAACAAGAAAGGAGACAAGGGGTCCCCTTGTCTTAACCCCTTTTGAGGCTAAAACTCATCAGTTGGAGCACCATTAACCAGAATAGACACCTTAGTCATAGTGATACAAGACTTCATCCACCCAACCCATCTAGCCCCAAAACCCAACTTCTCCAACATAGATAGCAAAAACTCCCAATTTAATGAATCATAGGCTTTTTCAAAATCCAATTTCAAAATAATACCTTTCTTCTTAGCACTGAGCCACCCATGAACAACTTCATTGGCTATCATCACACCATCTAGGATGTGCCTGCCACTGACAAATGCAGATTGCACCTCACTGATCACCTCTGGCAGCACTTTCTTCAACCTTCTAGATAACACCTTAGCCAAGATCATATAGATGGAGCTAACCAGGCTAATTGGCCTAAAATCACCCAAACCTGTAGGATTAACTTTCTTTGGAACCAGCACTATGAAGGAGCTATTAACCCCACTGGATAGTTTCACATTTGCGTAGAATTCATGAATCATTTGAAGTATCTCACTTTTCATGACTGACCAACACTTTTTCATGTAGGCAATATTAAAACCATCCGGACCAGGGGCTTTGTTCCCATCATAATCTTGAAGAGCTGACCAAATTTCATCTTCA